ACCTGCCTTTTCCATGTACACAGAGACCCACCTTTTTATGTACACAGAGACCCGCCTTTTTATGTACACAGAGACAAATCCTTCTTATTCATTTCGTATTCCATTTGCAAGGAGGAAGTTCCAGCCGTACATTTTTTTTCAAAGTGGCATTGGCTTGTGGAACAGATTTTCTTAATCTCTTCAATGTTAGTGTCATTCGTTATCTATCTTAGATAGCTTCATATGGACGTAAGATTTGTATCTTACGTCCATAAAACAACCCCGATTCCATAACCTGTCACTCCTTCCTTTGAAAATGTTCTCACGGTCAAGATTCCTTCCTTCCCCCAATTCTTACCTTCACATCTATGAATCACCATCAGTCGAACAATACTCTTATAATAATTTCATTCCTTTTTCTCTTTTTCCGCTAAAAAAAAAACAAAAAAAACAAAAAACAATTTCATGTTTTGCGTTCAATGTTTCTTTCTCTTTTATTCATGCACACTCATTCAGCGATAATCGCAGACAAAAGTCTGGCATGATGTTCGTCATATTTATTATTGGCATCAAAATCAAAGGATTCCATAAACTGCCAGTATGTCTAGCCTTCAAATCTTGTTAAATTTTCACTGCTAATGTGTAAAAAAATAAATAATATGTAAAAAGTCCTATTCTGTATAGAAAATAAACTAAAAAAAGTAAAATATATAACTGCGTATAATGAAAATCAATCTGACGATAGTGAATCAAAATTTTAATTTTATAATGAGAGAACTCAGACGATTCAAACAAATAATAATTCGTTTGGCCAAAATTATCGAGATTCTTCAGCCGACGACGGCCATTCAATTAAATATGGCCATGCGGGAAAATAAATTACGCTTGCTCTCTATTTTTTTAAATCATTTCACCGAAAACAATAAAGCCACTAAGTTACAAGGGGTTACTGAGTGTTAGAGAATATGAGAAACTACTTTTAAGGAGAGAGGACAATAAAATAATTATTGACTTTCCATTTAAAATTTTGAAGATCAAAGTTGACTGGAAAGCAAAAGTTGGAAGACAGTTCCACAAGAAAAAACTGCGACAGAATAAACTGTTAGTATAGAACATACGATAACATCTGTCAATTTCAATTGTAAAATGATGAGACATTTCCGACAATCTAGGTACCATAGAGCAAAGGATATCGGTACAATTACTATGAAAGTATTTATAGAAAAGAAAAAGAGAAGCAGCTTTACGATGATGGGAAAGAAACTGAAGCCGAGGTACCAGATCAGGACCAATAATATTGCAGAATCTTCTTTGGATTTTATCAAGAAACTCTAAATATGTAGCAGGACCGCTAGACAAGATGTTCAAAGGGAGGAGAAGCGGTAAGTTTGTAAATCTGTAAAAGAGATTCTGGTGAAAGAATTGTCAAACACGACAGAAAGGACCAACTTTCCTAGCAGCAAAACTAGCAATTGATTCAATATAATCTTTCCACTTTATGTCATCGGAGAATGTTAGCTCGAAAAGGTGCAAAGTGTCACTCTCCTGGAGAATAGCATTGTTTTTCCACACTTATTTTAGCGAGGCTCCGCGTGGGCAAACCAATATCAATATCTCTATTCTGACGATGAACCGTTTCAACAAACTGACCCCTTAAAGGGGTCTTACGAATTGTAAACATGTATCACATGCAGAATAACCAACGTTCTTGAACTAAAGAGACGAATAAAGTAATCGTGGGCGAGATTACGTCGAATAAGCTTTCGGGTGTTGTTTTCTGTATGCGTTTACATCATTAAGTTTAAGAAAAGATAAAACAAATTTTTCAGCATGGGTAGCTTTAATAACTTCAATAAAATTCAATTATTTCCTAATTTAAACAATTCTGAAAAAATAAAATATTTCTGTAATTTCTTTACATTTTAACGCACAACGAAGCGGTTACAACCATCTGCTATCTAATTAGAAGATCCGAGTTCGAATCCCACCATGTTCAATTTGTCAGAAGTGACTTTGTTGTTACTGGCCGTGGGATACAATCCAAGTATGCAGTTTAGATGGTGAAATGGATACTTGTTTCGATTTAGAAATCTAACGAGTCAGGCTCGAATTCCACTTAACATTCACCGTTGAGGAAACAATTATCTCCCCTGAAAAGATAGTAGGAATTGCATTTCAGACAAAAAATTATATTAATTCCTATTAATTATAAATACTCTATTCATTCAAAAGAAAAAGAAATTATCAATGCACCATACATTATTAAAAAAAAAAAAACAATCCAAAATATGTTGTATGTAAAATGCCGTAAAAAATCAGTCAGTCAATTGACAAGTGTGCAGATTACCGTTGGAAAATGTCTGAAAACTACTATTCAAAAGTAAAATAAATTATTAATTCATAATTCAAAGGAAAAATAAATTATAAAATAATAAATTAATACACTATGGAAATGAAAAAAGAAATTATTATTTCAAAATTCAAAAGAAAAGGAAATTATTAATTAAGAAATTCTTTATACACTATTCAAATGAAAAAGAAATTATTAATTCAAAAGAAAATGAAAAGGAAATTATTAATTAATAAATTTTTATGCACTATTCAAATGAAATAGGAATTATTTATTCAAAAGAAAAAGAAAAGGAAATTATTCATTATTAAATAATTTACGCACTATTCAAATGAAAAAAAATTACTAATTCAAAAGGAAAAGAAATTATTAATTAATAAATTAATTATGCACCATTTAAATGAAATAGGAATTATTAGTTCAAAAGAAAAAGAAAAGGAAATTATTAATTAATAAATTATTCATGCACTACTCAAATGAAAAAGAAATTAATTCAAAAGACAAAAAATTATTAATTAATAAACTATTTATGCACAATTCAAATGAAAAAGAAATTATTAATTCAGAAGAAAAAGCTATTGTTAATTAATAAATTCCTAATACATAATTCAAATGAAAATGGGCTCTACACTATTAATTAAAATATTCTTACATATGCTGAGTCCACAAGTGATGTGATTTTTTTACGGCATAAACATTTCTGGGTATTCAACCCGAAATGTTATGCCGTAAAAAAATCAATTAATCGACGAGTGGGCAGAGTACTATTGGAAAATATCTGAAAACCATTCCACAAGTTGATTTGTGCCTTGTTAATGAGCAGACAAAACTAATCGGAAGCTAACGATATTTGTGCTAGCAATATCTCACAAGTCATCGTGGTCGAGGCTTTGAGCGTACTAGCTTTTTCAAACTGTTAATGATTTCAGATGATAGGCTCGATTCCAGATACGCTAACTAAGGTCTCCTCAGCAGCAGGTGAGCGTGGTGGTTGTTTGACAAACTCAAATGTCTGTGTAGAACAGGGATTGTCTAGACACCCTAGCAGATGAGTGTTATCTGAAACAAGTCACCGGGTATTAAGTTGTACATCATTATTTCGACTTCATTTACACTTAGAATTTTTTTAATTCCTGGTCTTTATGAATAGTAATGATAATATTAGCAGTTTCCTTATAAGGTGACAATTGGCATTCATTGACTCACAATTCAATATTACTGTCGGTTGAAATTTATAAAATCATTCTCTTAAATTATTTTTAGGAAAAACCGGTTTCTAAACTTCAGTAAATGTTAGTTCTCTATCCAGTATTGATGGAGGTTTCCTTCCTAACATTTTGTTTGAAGTAGTTTGGAACGTTAGAATCTTGATTATCTCATTATTTTCTCTTCGATCTACTTGTGCTACATGTTAATTGTTGCTGAGTCCACAATTGATGTGGTTTCTGTTATTTGGTAAATTTCTTTGTAATTCTGAAGTACCAATAATCCGCAAGGTGCGAAAAAGTTTGGTTTTCGTCACGACACACAGGCTCCACCCTCTCAAGACCATTTTTAACCATTGATCTGAGATAGCGGATGTATACAGGTGACAGTTTAGATATTTCTCAACGGGTTTGACTCTGACGGGGCTATTTAAGAATATGAATTAAATTTTCAGGTTAATGTTTTGTAGCAATTTTTGTCGTTAGGCGAAACTCCTCTAGGGAAGCCGATTCCATGTTCAATTTCTTTTTCGCCATAACCTATCCATTGTATTTTTAGTGTTTGGTATTTACTAAATCTATAACCTATTTTTTTTATGAATGTGGAATTAGAAGATATTTTATTAAGACTATTTTGTGTGGAACTGTACTCTTGGATCTCAATACCAAGAACTCATATCAAAGACTTTATAGCAGCAGAGGCAAAATCTTTATGCAAATTGTTTGATCTCCTTGTATAAAGAAGACCCGTGGTATCAGGAAAGAGGAGTAGAATTGCTTTAGCGCAAGTATTTTATAAATTTAAGGACGGTAGGTATGAATTGGAGAAAGAACATGAAAGTTGCGTATGCCACCATCGAAAGTGCAATCGGCGAGTGGTGTTCAGATTTATGGTTGATATATTGCGTTCACTTTTGCACAAAAGAAAGACATGAATCCATCTCTTCTCCTCCAGCTATTGAATAAAATGGATAACCGGAACTGTCTATTATTAGCAAACAATCTAAGAGAATGGAAAATCTGAATTGCAATCCGTGAATTCGGTCACGGGAAACAACTTCACTATATTTCCCAAGAGGGCGTGACAATTTACAAACAAGAAACAAAATAAATAATCTGTGGAAGGCCATGCTCGTCTACAACTTGTAGCAGTATCTGTACCAGAAACACAAATTATTTCGGCCAATGTCATTTTAAAATGGGCCTTCGACAGATGGGCCAAAAGGTTTCCCCTCTGGTTTGATCTGTTTTTTTTTACACATCTACATTCTTAATTATGTATATTTGGATTCGTGACAACCATGATTCTGGAATTTCGTTGTGCTTTGAGGTCCATCGGGGATGGATTCTAGAATTTCATGGACTTTTAGAAATATTAATAATAATATTAGAAGCCTAATAGTGTCAGATTTTGTGCATTTAAAGTTTTATAGTCATTCTGATGTAATTTAATGTGTCAATTAAAATTATATATACAGAATGAAATACAGAAAGAAAAAAATAGATAGATAGATATTAAAAGAATGAAAAAGATAGATATTAAAAGAATGAAAAAGATAGATATAAAAAGAATTAAATAGATAGATATGAAAAGAATGAAACAGATAGATAGATAGATAGATAGATAGATAGATAAAAATAGATAGATAGATAAATGAAAAGAATGAAATAGATATAAAAGAATTAAATAGATAGATATGAAAAGAATGAAACAGATAGATAGATAGATAGATAGATAGATATGAAAAGAATGACATAGATAGATAGATAGATAGATAGATAGATAGATAGATAGATAGATAGATAGATAGATATGAAAAGAATGAAATAGATAAAGAATTAAATAGATAGATATGAAAAGAATGAAACAGATAGATAGATAGATAGATAGATAGATAGATAGATAGATAGATAGATATGAAAGAATGACATAAATGAAATAGATAGATAGATAGATAGATAGATAGATAGATAAGAGAATAAGATCGAGATAGATATATAGATATGAAGAGAATAAGATAGATAGATAGATAGATAGATAGATAGATAGATAGATATAGGTGTATTCTTTTTTGTTTGTTTCTTGTTTAAATAACCATTTTTATTGATTTAATAATTATTTTTTAAATTAATGCTCAAATGGCTAATTTTTTTTTTATTTTTGTAGAGTTCTCGCAGGTCAGAGTTCATTTTTTTCTATTGATTGGCCATCCCACTCGAATATATCGAAAATAATTATTCTTAAAGAATCTCGTTTCTTCTGTCTCAGCAGCTATCTCCATTAGACGTTTGTCAAGTGACTGCCTATGTTGATCGGATTAATTTTGTTTGATCTTCACCTTTGTTCGTCAACTGGCAGATCTGTTGTTTGTTTTTTTGTTTTGTTTTGTTTTTTTTTTCATTTTTCAATTAGATGTATTCCCGACAGTGTATCTATCAACTTTTTTCCTGGCAAAAATTCTGATTTTATATTAAACCTCGATAATCTCATTAATAATATATGGCAACGAATAGGTGTTTCTTTTAAGTCCATTAGATTTATTGATGGAATTAAAGGCCGCTTTCTATTCTGAATGATTCCAATCCAAATAAATAACTTTAAAATTTCTCAAATATCCAGGCGTCGACGAAACATTCCTTCTGTTTTTGGAGCAATGGTTCTCAAACTTTTTTTTTTACTAATGGTAGCACTTTATACTCTTTTTTTTAGTGGACAACATAAGCATTTGATGAAAAAAAAATTATTTTTTACTAATAGATAACTTTAGGAAATTTATTATACAAATAATAATTGTTTCTGATTCCTTTATATATAATCTATATTTAATTTATATATTAAATTAATATTACTGTGAATATTTTTAAATATTTTATATTAATTAATTCATATTAATATATTAAAATTTTATTTTATTTTATTAATATTTAAAATTGATATTATTATTTATTATTAATATATTAAATTAATTTCTAAAATAAATTATAATCTTTATCTAATTCCCCGTTATATATATAATCCTTCCTTTATATATCCATTATATTTATTCAACTTTTACTATCTAAACATCCGATAAAGTAAAAGTGACGCTAATTTACATTCCTGTGGTTAATGATGTTCAGCAAGTTTTTTTTTATATTCATCTCTATTGATATCAATGATAGTTGAAGATCAATGCATTGACATTGTCAACTTAATAATCAATAATAATTTTTTTAAAGAGATTAATAAAAAAGATTACTATAAGTAAACTTATATATTAAAATAAAATTTTATTCTTTTAATGTACTTTCTATGAATATCTTTCTAATCGACTATTTCATAGAAAATGCCCAAAATTAAAAAAAAATTTAAATCACTAACAAACATCAAATTAAATTATTTGTAGACAGTTTAGAGACACTCAAATTTATATCAAACATTATAATCTTTATGAACCCCCAAAATAACACTTTCAATGTAAAACAAAATAACAGCGTCTGTTTCTAGCCTTTTTTAACAAAGAAAATTAGTGACATCTTCTCTCATAACTTCCTTCTCTCTTTTTCTCTCCATGGGTTTTTTCTTCTCTACCCCTTCGATATCAATATATAACTTCCGTTAAGTTAACCGTTTAAATGTGTCAATATCTGCCCGTCAAAAATGTGTAAATTTTCTTTTCTTTTTTTGTTTGGAAGTAAAGTCTGATGATCCGCAGTCCTTTAAAAGGGCTGTGGTGAAATAATTTATTACACGGAACCTTAAAGTGGTCTGTTTTTATGTTATATATATATATGTTATATATATATATGTTGTGGTAGGATCCACCTAATTTGTATAGTGGAGTACCGACCATATAAATATGGTCGGTACCGGGAAGACGGTGAGAAGGAATCAAGAGATTCAATCCAGAGACTCTGCCCGACTGCGACTAAGTCAACACATCCTCCGGGAACGGTCTTCCCAAGAATATACAAAAGAATATATGTAAATATTGTGTACACTTTCTTGTTTCAATACATTTTGTTCAAAGTACATTTTGTGTTGTATTATTATTCCATGCATTAGTCAAGTTTCAACAATATATATATATATATATATATATATATATATATATATATATATATATAAACTATTTAAACCATTTGTGCATAACGTCGAATTATTTTAGAAAGGCTGATGCCTAAAATTTAAAGATCCGCCACCCTTAAGATTATCATAGTAGACAATGATTAGACAAAGAGATCGGACATTTTTATTATTATTGAATATATGATAAAAACCCTTTAGGAAGAAAAAGTTCCTCTGGTCAGAAGTGAGCTAGAAATTTACTTTTGGAAACGTCAAACAATTTCCAAATTTTAGGCAAAATTCAAAGGATGGCCCAATACCCAAATTATATATCAGAGTGGACACATGTCCTGAAGTTTGCATTCAAGCGTTACACTGTCTGTTGACACTTCTGTATTTACACACGCTCTATCCCTGATATTGAACACTTTTACCAATAAATGTAACATACCTTAACACTATATTTTATCATATATCTATCATTATCATATATATATATATATATATATATATATATATATATATATATATATAACCCTTTTTTATATCCTTCTCAGTTTTTATTCAACTTTTTACAATCAAAACATTCGGCAGAGTAAAAAAGATGCTAACTTACATCGCTTGATCTCATTTTCTGCTAGTTTTACATAGAGTTGTTTTCCTATTTTTAGTATTTTAATTTGCCACAGATTACTGTAGAAATTCCAATTCTCATTTGTAACAATCGTTCCGAAGTAAAATTGCTCCATGGACCACTAAAATATTACTGTGGACCCCCAATTTTGTTGTGTGAAGTCACATTAATGTTACATGAACACCAGGCTTCATACGGACTGCACTTCTAGTTCAGTGGCTTAGCATCCATTTGCATGTGGTCTGGAACCTAGGAATGGAAAGTGTATTGAAATGCAATCCATCACTCTCAGAATAAAACACCCACAAGTTATTCTGGCCAATTGATGAGCATTTTGGCTCTGTCTTTGAATGTTCGAACATAGATAATTGGATAAATAGATAGATGTGAAGAAACTGTAGAACAAATCTTTATTTATTATTAATATATGAAATTAATTTCTATAATAAATTATAATCTTTTATATAATCTTTCCTTTATATATTCTTCTCAATTTTAATTTCTGGAACACGTAATGAGAAAGAGGGCCTGGAGAATCTGATAGTCACAGGTCAAATAGAGGGGAAAGAGAGGCAAAGGAAAGCAACGCATGCCATACATGGCGGGCTTAAGTAAGTGGATGACAGAACGTGGTCTGGGGGAGGAGGTAGAGGGACGAAAGTTATTGAGAATTACAAGGGATAGGAGGAAGTGGAGAGCCATGATCGCCTACGTCCTGAAGGTCATCTCACATAAAAAAGAAAAAAAGCTTCTCTACCTTTTTTCTAATCATGGACCACTTTTACTCTTAGCTTTTTTTTGTTTTGGGGTTTTTCTTTTTTTGGTGAACCCCGATAACCATCCGATGAAAAAAAATGTGAGTAATTAATATTTTTTTTTAAAAAAATACAGATTTATTCAATGGGATCCCTATGATTGATGCTGCTCTTTGAGTTTTTTTTTTTTTTTTCATATTCGTCTCTATCGATTTCAATAATAGTCAAAGATCATCCCCCACTTTCCACAATGTTGAGTCTATTACTGCATTAATTTATATTAACATTTCATTTTATTAATATTTAAAATTGATATTATTATTTTTGATATATTAAATTAATTTCTGTAATAAATTATAATCTTTATATAATTTTCCTTGATATATATAATCTTTCCTTTATTCTTCTCAATTTTTATTCAACTTTTACAATCTAAACATCCGGTAGAGTAAAAGGGACGCTAAAACTTACATCACTTAATCACATTTTCTCCTAGTTTTAGAGTTGTTTTTCTATTTTTAGTTTTTTAATTTGGCATAGATTTCTGTAGAAATTCCATTCCTCAGTTGTAACAACCATTCTGAAGTGAAATTGCTCTATGGTTCCCCAATTTGCTATTTTTTTGTGTCCATATGACCCCCGGTTGAGAACTACTTCTTTTATGTGCGTGTGTCCATTCAGGACGTAGGCGATCATGGCTCTCCACTTCCTCCTTGTCTCTTGTAGTTCTCGAGTTGTCTTTTTGCTACTCCTTCCAGGCCCTGTTCTGCCATCCACTTTTTAAGCCCGCTAAGTATGTCAAGCGTCGCTCTAATCTTGTCCCTCTTTCTCTCTGACCTTCCTGTGAGCATCAGATTTTCCAAGCCTTCCTTTCTCATTACGTGTCGACAGAAATACCAGCTGCCTCTTCCTGAAGTTAAAGAAAAGCTGCCTCTTTGTTTGCATCCTCTTCAAAACCTCATCGTTTCTTACATGTTCGGTCCATGGTATCCTTAGCATCCTTCTGTAGAACCACACCTCCGTTGCCTCGAGTCTCTTCTTCATCATTGAGGAGACCGCCCAACATTCACTGCCGTAAAGAAGGACAGATATCAAGTAACAGCTCAGTACTTTTTTCCTTTTTACCAACGAAATCCTCCTGTCCCGTAATACTCTGTCTAGCTTTTGGAATGCGTCTTTGGTCACAGCCAGATTCTGGGCGTAGTCCCGTTCTGCTGGCGTTAATCTTCGCGACTAAAAGTCTAAGAGCGTACTGATCCCATTGTGTTCTTTTGAGAGAACGCCACTGAAGTGATGAGAGTTGGCTTTCGTCAAATCAATGTATACGATAGCTGTTTCTTAACTTGCTTAAGAGCAGTGATCCGTGGTTGTGGTCTGTGCTAGTCCCACACCACTCCTTGTCCCTTGATAGTAATCCATTTACATGTCGAAGGATTGTTGATAAGGGCGGAATGTATTAGCCTAAAACGTTTATTATATCTAGCATCCCTTTCAGTTCAGTTCAGGAATTTTTAATATGGCCTCCACTTGAGTTGAACCGGATATTCCATTTTCTGTAATAAGATGCCTGTAACGAACAACGACAGATTTAGAATGATGCTTATTGAAGCTTTATTGAGCTTCAACATGGCGCCGTATCTGTATATGTGTCTAAGATGAGGTATTATGCACATTATTTACATTATTCGGACTATTGTCTTCATCTTTGTCGCTATATTTATTACAACGTTTCGGCCTTTCAGTATCTGTCTATATTTCTAAGATGAGGTAGTATGTACATTATTTACATTATTCGGACTATTGTCCTCATCTTTGCCGCCATATTTATTACAACGTTTCGGCCGTTGTACGCCCCGGCCTTCTTCAGGTGTTTGGAATGTTGAACTGAACCCTTTATCTCGCTTACTGTGGTAGACTGTTCTAGTTCCATGTACTATGTTTAATGGATGCCAGTTATTAGTTATCTCCTGTTAATTTCCCTCTGAAAGTTCTACACCGCCTTAACCAGGTATTGAACTCAAACTCTTTGGGTCCTGTCACTGAATCTAAGTAACGTCTTTATCCACTGTGAGTGTGAGTGTGACGCACGTGGAACTAAAACAGTCTACCCCATTGAGCGAAATAAAGGGTTCAGTTTGACATTCCAACAACCTGAAGAAGGCCTGAGTGTACAACGGCCGAAACGTTGTAATAAATATGGCGACAACGATGAGGACAATAGTCCGAATAATGTAAATAATAAACATGGCTCCGTGTAGACGCGTTTATAGATACAAGTGTAAAATAGTTACAATAGAAAAGGGAAGTAATTCGTCAGATTTTCTCACCAGAGAAGCAAAGAAATTTTATCCACTTCCATTTTTGTTCGGATCTTTCTTTATCTAATTTCAGTCCGACCGATTGAATCCTTTTAAACACTTTGTTCAAATGTTGTTGTTTTTTTTTTCAATTTGAGACCCGATCTTCGCTAAATATTATGATATTATCAAAGTAGATTATGAAGGTTGTTAATTTTACAGATTTCCTCTCGTGTGGCCTTACTGATCCTGGCCAATACCTAGATGGTTGAGCGCTTGGAAAGTGCAGGTAGTTTAAGCTTGGATGTACGAATGGTGTAATGGATAATAGTTCATCATTTGAAATTGGAGAGCGGAGTTCCAATTCCAGTCAGGTTCGTTATATTCACTTACGCTTAAATATCTTTGGGAAAAGTATGAATAAACCTCTTCTCCCCCAACTATGGGTTAACTAATAAGAATTGTATCACTAAAACATTCTTATCTTTATGCTTTAAATAACCTGTAAATTGTTGATAAACCGTAAAAAAACGACTCGATCAATCAACCTCTTGTGAGATTTGCCACAATCCGGAGACTGTGTCAGGTTTTAAGATTGTAGTGGATTGGCATATAGGATTCTGCCTATTTGCACGTGTTAAATAGAAGAGAAGTAAAGTGTATAGTAAAGTAAGAGACAAGCGGAAGTGAGCTAATGATCACGTGTCGTAGAACACAATACAACACAATACAACAATATTGTGTTGCCGATAGGATGTTTAAATCGCTTGGATGAACAAGAATTGAATCTTATATTTTGCAGCTTATAGAACCGGACAAGAGTTGGATAAAATGAAATAACTGGCCTCTTTCAAGGAAGTGAACTACTGATCACGTGCCTCAGAACAACACATTACAACGAAGTTTTTTTTCATTCAATTATAATTTATTTAAAAGATCTTCGAGCATAAGAAGAAGATGCCTTTCGCATTTCACGGCTTTATTTAGCTATTTAAAATAAGTGCCAATTCCTAATTTACCATTTCTCTATCATGGTGGGTACCATAATAGAACAATAGTCAGCTGGCTAATTTGCTGCATGCAATCCAACACTGATTTTACTGTTTCTTTATACCCTTATCAATACGCTCTTTGATGTCGTAAAACATCATGTCTCTATGTCGTATTGCAATTTAATTTTAAGTTCAATATGTGCCTCAATATTATTGATGCTTATTATTTGCCTGCATTAATCTTAGATTACAAACAGTGATTCGACTTAAGAGGTTATCGATATCAACATGTTATGGCGATTAAAACAGGCCTCAACGGTTGAACCATCGGAGGAAGAGGGCTACGCATGAGGGACATGTTACAGAAAGCGCCATTCAAAATTATATCAAAGTCAGCGGCCATCTGTTGTAGTTTCATAACTGAATATTGCATATCTCATCCCATATGTGCCGCAGATGAAGGTCATGAAATCAAGTGGGTGGGTCACTTCCTGGTAGATTGAGGTCTACCTTAAACAAATTCACGCTACTTTGATTTTCTTTGACCTTATCTCGATTCGAAAGTTGAGGTCCCCCTTAAACAAATTCGCACCATCAGTACTTTCTTCTCAACTCTGAGTTTCTTTCACCTTCAACCAACTTTTGCAAAGCAAACCTGTGACAAGGAATGGATGATGTGAGCAGATCTTGGTGGAACTGGAAGCTTCTAGTCCTGAATCTGCAGATTGGCGGCGGATTTAGGCACCAACGCCATCATCATAAAGGAAGCGATCATCACAGAATAATTTAAATTCTTGAATACGGGATAAAGCAGTCGACGATCTCTCACATCTACGACAAACATATATAACGCGATAAATTGTCCAGGGCATTTCATGGTACCACCTGTTGGTTTGACTTTCACCTTAGTATGCTTGATTTAATATTTTAAACTAAGTTTGTGATAATGACTCAAATATATCACTGATTGGCCAACACCAGTATCAATTTGGAATTAACCATTCTTCCGACAAATTTATAGTTGCGTACACCATGGTGGTTCATTAGAAAGGAACGCGCTGAAAAAGTAGATAACGCCGTCGTCTGTATCGAAATATTGTCACGGAATTCAAGGTAAAGACGAAAATATTCTCACTTCAACAGATAATTAGATTGCCCTCAAAAAGAAAATAGATTAAGTTCGGGTAATTTTTATGTTTTCTTCAATGAGTACTACATGCAGTAAAGAAATGATTCCTATCATGGTTACCCATCTGAAGGCGATCGGCGAAAAGGTCAACTATTATTTTCTGTCATTGAACACAGAAAAGTGATTGGATTCGAAATCCCTTCCTGTCACTTCTTAAATTGGACTTCAGTTATGTGATCGAGGGCTCAAAATAAAACATTCGACGGTATCCACTTATATAGTTTAGATTTCAATGCAAAAGGAATACCTCAAACTAATTAAAAAATTTTCTACTCCTTATTTATGTGAATAGGCTTCTCAACCCTAAATAACATCAAAAATAAGAAACGATAAAGACTATACTCAACTGAAAAGGAAATGAGGGACTACTTATCGCACATTCAACCAAACATTGAATAAATCCTGTTAAAACACCAGGCACAGGTTTCACACTAAATAAAGTGAACAAATTGTTGAATAGAAACATTAAAATAAAGTAAGTTTATATTTCTGTGTGTATTTTTTAATCTATAGTTTTATTTCATAACATTCAAATGTATACACTTTAAAATTTATGTAGTCGAGGCACTAGGGGGAAAAAAGCTTGTCAGAGTAGTTGCCATGAAAAATATTTGTAGAAAAGATAGAGTGAAGTCATGTCACATGGGTGAGACAATTTCTCTGACCACATCACTCCTTAAATCTGACCACCTAACTCCCCAGACTGTAACCCCCTTGATTATTATGCGTGGGGTGCAGTAGAATGAGAGACCAGCAAAACTTCTTGTATGACCAAAGATGCACTGAAGGCAAGGATTATGACAGCATTCAACAACTTCCAAGGAAACTGTCTAGAAGAGACGCAGGTGATCCCGAAGTTGTCTGGAGGCCGTGATCGAAACCAATGGCTATTTTATTGAATAAATTTACTCTTTAGTATTTCAAGATATTTTTGTGTAATTTTGGTAAATATATCTGTTAAAATGAGTTATTTCAGTGATATTTTCATTTTGCTTAATTTAGACGACAATTTATCCATCGCACACTGTATACACAGGGTGAATCAAAAGTCGCGCGCCATAGGGGGCGTGGGAACTAATTTGATCATGTTTGAAATGTTTTGAATTTGTTTTTTTTTTATAGGTACTGTTAAGTGACCACCGAGCTTACCAGACGTCACAACCTTGGATTTTTTTCTGTTGAAATCAGTTGTTTCTCAGACGCGCCCTAGAAATATTGAAGAACTTAAAGAAAGAATGAAATATGAAGGTAGTAAAATGACAGAGGAATCTCTTCGACGTTTCCATGGATCATGCAGGCACAGAATTAAAATGCGTTTTGTAAAAGGAAGAGAACATTTTGAACAGCATATATAATAATTAAATAACTAGTAAATAACATTTTCATCTGTAATTATACTTTTAATAAATTGTCCCAATATATACATACACATATATATATATATATATATATATATATATATATATATATATATATATATATATATAGGATAACGATGTATACCGTATATTTCCCCGTATAAGACGACCTTCAAATTCCCAAAATCACCCTTAAAAATTGGGGTTCGTCTTATACTACAATTCTAAAAAAAAGCCTTAAAGCCTGATGTTTGTCGGTAGGCTAAACTCGGCTTTGGTACGATAACCAATAACTTACATGAAAAGATTCGCATTGTCAAATAAACATAATGAAAGTTATAAAAGAATTCATCTGTCTACTGATATTTTCATTTGCGCCGTTGCTTAAAATTTTGAGAAACACTGGCCTATGGCGTCAACGCTTCGGCTGCAACAAGAAACAGAAAATGATTTGGCTTACAATCTTTAAAAAAAGTCTTTTCTTTAGCTGGAAAGAAAAGCCTTTTTCTGAGTACGACTCGTCCATTTGTTTTTCCTGGTTTGACATGAACTTCATCCTTCATCTTTTTGCTTACCGACTTGTGTTACCCTATTTTTATCGTATCAACTGCAGGAGACGTCTGTTAATCGATCTTCATGTTTCCCTGTTCATATTGACGGGCAATTGTTGTTGCTGCCGTCTTCAGTGTCAGGTAAGGTGAGAGTTGAATGTTTTTCGAGAGATTTATCGATGAGACCAACCACAAAACGGTCCCTTATAGATCATTTTTCCCCAGAAAGCTGTAGTGATGCGCTGGGCCATACTCTACCTGAATATAAGATTCTTTATTCTTGTCATGTTCTGTTTTTTTTTTTGTTTTGTTTTTTTTTGTTTTTTTTTGTTTGTTTTTTTTTTGTGTGTGTGTGTGTGTGTGTGGTGAAACGCGGCCGTTCGTGCATAATGTTAACTTTTACATTAAAATGTTTTCATTTTTGAATGACATAGTTAATGGACTCTTCTAGTTGGTCAGGATATTTGGTTGGCTCTTGTTGGTTCCTATCGATACTGATAGACCCATATATTTAGCCCGTCCTCAGATCCCTTATGTTTGGACTGATTTGAAAGTCCAAAAGTATCGTTATCCAATTCAGAAGAGGTTCTATAACGTAAAAATCTTTTCCCCCCACTCGGGACAATTTTTGGTCTATGAGAATATAAAACCTACCTTTGCTTTCAAAGTCATTCTTTCAGTTTGGTTCACCTTGGTCGTTTTTTTCTTCTTCTTGTGTGATCCCACCTATGTCACTGGGCAAAGAACAGGATCAGTAAGAAAATCTCTTTGACTTGGAAACCTTTAGAATACACTGTAAAGCTAAGATTAGAAGGCAGAGGCTGGTTAGAAACATCCCAGGAAACAGTAATTTGAATCGTTTTTTTTTTAATAACAGCTAAGATTACTCACAGTAATGAACGTGTTTAATAAGGAAACTTGAGGCAGAGGAACAATACTACTACTTCATCCATGCGTAGTATGTGTAACCCCCCCCACCAAGCACCAAAGAATGGAATACCTGTTTACTATACTTATGTCTAACGTTTTGATTCCTGTGCAACCTACCCCTATATCAACATTTCTAGCTCTCCTGCAAGACATACTTATATCTAACTTTTTTGACTCTCATGCAAATCAAACTTGTGTCTAACTTCTTGGCTCTGCGCAAACAAAACCTATGTCAACCTATCTATTGTACAGAGAGCCAAGCATTAATTAACCTGGGGACGGTTAATATGCCATAAAACAAACTAAGCCAAACCAGAAACCCTTTACTACACAGGTGCAGTGAGACAATGATATAAGACTTCGTAAATCCGTTTGAAGAAGAAAGTTGTAAGCTACTGGGATTAAATGTGTCATTATGGAGCAGACATCTGTTGAAATCCTTACGGTATTATAATTCCATGGATAGCACCAGGTTGTAATATTTCTGTAGAAAGACTTTGATCTAAAATTAAAACTGTATTGACTTCTATAAGTAGAAACAAGGGTAATTCTATTCAAAGACGGTTGCAACGGGCTGAAAACAAATCAAACGATGCGACCACACAGTTGAAGCCTTACTTATTGAAAAGTAATATGTTGTCGAACAAGAGATGAGGATTTAAAAACATTCTGCAACGAGAAGGACCAGCTTTTCCGCCATCTTTATTCTCATATGGTCAGCTGCGACCAGACAAGATATGTTCTTATGGGATGTATCCAAAAATAAGCAACTTCCATAACTTCGATCCGAACCATCAGTGAGACTATTTCTGATTATGGCATTGAGGCTTATAACTTGCTGAGATCTACAAGTCGAAAAACATAAAAGGCTATGCCACGGAGGCTTTTTGTCCTGCATATTACAAGAGAGATAATATGTCGTGCAAACATTGTTTGTAATTAATAAATGAAAATCTATTTGAAATCTCACAACAAAGGAAGACATACTTTTAACCAAAGAAAAAAAGGGGTAGAGAAAGCAAGTCATGTGTCAAAATTCCTATCAACAATTCTCTAAAATCTATTCAAGATTAAAGCTTTTCAACACGTGAACAATGAACTGGAAACAATCACTAGAAACCAATATCTGTTACTCAGAGAGGTAGAAGCCGCTTAGGCAGACATACACCACTCTATCTCGTAGACTGACCTATCGCCTGTCGAAAATTAGTGCAATACGTGTACATTAGAGCAGGTTGATTTTTCACTTTTTTAAAAAAATCAACATAAAGATGGGGTTCGATATATGTACTGACACGAAAAATTAGATTCAGAGCTTTTCTCAATTGTTGAGCATTTATGTTTAAATACTTTTTATAAATTTTACTCTTTTGAGAATAAATCCAAATAAAGTTGATACCTTTTGCATTAGATACACTGAATTGAAAACAAATTCAAACCAGAATTGTAATTATAAATCACCTCAATTAAAATCTCTCATTTTTACTGCATTCAATAAGAGTAAACTGTAAAAATTGTAAAAGATTATGAAAAAGGCTAATCAACAAAATTAATCTTATAAATAAACATGACTAATTAAGTATGAATTAATGTTTATTTATTTAATAGACAAATTTTTTATAGACTCGTTCCTCACCTGAAATTCATCTAAAAGGTGAAAGTATTGTGCTGTAAATTTTCTAATGCAATATTTTGCATTTCAGTCGACAGTTGCTTTATTCACTGGATCATGTTAAAGATTTACAGTTGTTGGTTATGGAAAGTATTAACCCTTTTAATTTCAACAAAGGAACTGCATTTATTTCAATAATAAATATTATATGGACGTGCTATAAGATTTTCACTGATCACCGGAACGAACTTCCAACGCTCCAATTTTTAATCCAATCATAATCTTTAAACTTGTTTCCTCGAAAAATGGCAACGATTTGGGAAAAAAAGATATTTTTGGGAAAAGATATTTTGTATAATTGTCAATTATATCAAATCCCGGGTTTCAAATTAAGTGCAATTAGCGCCGTTACAAAATCTACCTGATCTTCTATACATATCTACCAGCAATAAACAATCAATAATTTCATCTGTCAATATAAGATAAAAATTAGTAGATATTAACAAAATACTTTACAGCACCCAATGCTCAAAGGAAACACTCAAAAGCATAGAAGTTATTTATTATAAAAAAAATAAACAGCCGATATAAAATAAAATATGATTCACCACTTAATATGAGCCTATGTATATACAGGGTGCGATGGATAAATTGTCTAATTGACGCAAAAATGAAAATAACACTGACATCTCATTTTAACAGATATACCGGGCGCGATGGATAAATTGTCGTCTAAATGACGCAAAAATGAGAATGATGCTGACATCTCATTTTAACAGATATACCGGGTGCGATGGATAAATTGTCGTCCAAATGACGCAAAAATGTAAATAATACTGACATCTCATTTAAACAGCGACAATTACCAAAATTTTATAAAACTATTTTGAAATACTAATAGGTACATTTATTCAATAAAATCGTTATTGGCTTCAGACATGGCCTACAGGCGATTTCGGAAACGCCTGCATCTCTTCTAGACGGTCTCCTTGTTTAAGTTGGTGAATGCTGCCATAATCCGTGCCTTCAGTTCATCTTTGGTGTTACAAGAAGCTTTGGTGGCCCTCTCTCTCTCTCTCTCTCTCTCTCTCTCTCTCTCTCTCTCTCAACTGTGCCCTACTCATAATCATTTAGGGTGTTGTAATCTGGGAAGTTAGTTGGCCAGATGTAAAGGTTGATGTGGTCGCAGAAATTGTCTGACGGCCATGACATAGAGTCTTCCAGCAACCAACCTCTTGACCCAGGACAGCACTAACTCCTTAAGGCATTTGATGTAGGCCTTCGTGTTGAGTTTGGGGCCCTGTGGGAAGATGAATGGAGGCATAACTTCGGCATCACTTGTGATCACTCCAAACATTATGATGTTCACTGAATATATCATCCAACTCTTTCCGAATTTTCTGCACTTCTCTCAGATTGACACCCAAAAATATTCGTATTGGAGATTCTGGCGTGAATGCCAAGCAGTACAACCTGCCGTTTCCAAATTTCTGTCTGAGTGAATTGCATCATAATCCTCTTTTGCTCACAGACGGTGCCCAACTGACCCAACTATACTGTGCAGTTGACAAAATCAAAAACAAACAACGCGTAGGAGTGAAATTAAAAATATAAAATGGCGACAATTCAACCATTACAATATATATATACGTTATTTTTATAGACACAAATAGTTAATTATATGCTCTGTTTAAAATAAACAGTATTTACCGACCTGAATGTCCGAGAAGTATCAAAGTAAATATGCGTCATCCGAAAGGAATTGAACCTGTATCCTACTCGGAACCGTCTGACCATTTAGCTACAGAGACAGCATCTGATTAGCGAGGTTAAATCAAATAGCATAATATATTATGAAATTGTCCATAAATACACACAATATATATATATATATATATATATATATATATATATATATATATATATATATATATATATATATATATATATATATATATATATATATATATATATAAAAAAACATTTTATTGCGGCCTCATTACTAATAACCGTTAAACATGACGTCACCGTCAGCTTTCTAAAGAGTAACGGAACATAGACAAAGGAATTCTATCTAGCACACAGACCATTAGTTATTTAAAATAAATGACATGGCGGTAAGTATTTGAAAAAAAAAAAACTATATGATCCTTAAAAAGTTTATTCAAAATTTCGACCAAATTCTTAACACTTTATTTGAAAATTGAAAAGATACAATAAAATATAAATATACAGAACTTGTTTGTTCTTTTCAATCAGACATGTTTTGGATGACTGCTGATGATCAAATATGTCTTATTTAAACTCTGCTTTGTATATCTATGTGAGGTGAAATTAACTTTGTCTATTATCATGATGACGAAGCGAGCTACCGGTTGATCGCTGATGTTTTGTCATGTCAGATTAAAACAAGATGACAAATGACACAGTTGACATTGATATAGTGTTTTGAAAGCTGCTAAAGTACAGCATTTGGATTCGGAAGAATTGGGAATTTCATTTAGAATTGATAGATACATTCCTGTCCATGAGATCTGCGATGTCGACTGATTATAATGACTTACATTTCTTTCTCCCCTTGTCTAACAAATTCCGACATCTATCCTTCGCTGAATGCTACAATTTTGACTTCAATCACACACCTCATTCAGTTACTCTCTACCATGAATGACTCTTGATCCTTGTATCGTTTGAAAAAATGAGTATTTT